GGGAAAAGTTATTGGATTTAGGTTTCTAGTAGTTTGTGATGTAAAACCTTTTCAAAAATTGTAATGATCTATAACTTCGTTATGATCCATAATAATGGCTTGTGTGTTTGCCGAAACAAACAATTGTAATGACAATATAATTGATTTCGTGGTCTAAATTTGCAACAAAAGGATTATGTGAACAATTTAGACAACACTTTTCCTTTTTTATTGACTTGTATTCATGATATTCCGGCACGGGTACCCGTGACATGCAGAAGCGACACATTAATGTACGTTTTCGTTTTTTGGCACTCTGTGCCATTTTATTGGGCTTATCAGTGCCTCTTTCTTTGCTAATCAGTGTATATTTGAAGCAAGAAAAAAGTTTTGAAAACGAGTAACTTTTAATGCCGATAATAAGTAATTTAGGTATTCTGATAGATGTTTCCGAATCAGTAATCTTTTTTAAGAAGGTGAACAACAGTGAACGAAGCTGTGCAGGTGCGATTGTGGATGAAAGATGGGTAGTGACGTCAGCACTATGCATCTCTCATGAGTCTGGTCAAGCTACACTGCGTTAGTCTTTCTTGTGACAAATTATCACCTAGTTTTTATCTCCTATTTTGCCCGCAACCCATATCAACAAAGGTTTAATGATGCAATTATTTGAAGTTTAAGATTTATAAGAAGCCAAAATTCACAAAAATCAAAAACACGGACAATTAACATTTGCTTTTGAAAGTTGCTGAATTTACGTAAAATCGGTTTTATGTCTGAAACAATTTGTAAAAAACCACGAGCCTATTACAAAACTAAAGTAATCACTGCTTTCAGCAGCTGAATTAAGGATCCTGGTTCGAATGGTTGACACGAGTTCGAGGGGAGGCAAAAGAATCAAGGCTACCGATATTGTTATACCAGCTAAGTAATTCAATCTGTAATTTTAGTTCCGATCAAAAACAAAAAACGACAATAACTGATGTGCTAATATCAAAAAATGCTTCAATTACTGTTTCTGCTACAATAATAACCAATAAAAGGTCACTTTAAAAAAATTGTTTGTAACTTTTCTTTGAGATGATTTCTCTCCGTAAAACTTAAGCTTCAAAAACTGGTGCTTTACATCTTAAATAACTTATAAAGTTCTGGTTTTTGTCTTTTTCATCTGATGAAAAACTAGAGAGAAGTTTTCGTTTTTGTCTACAGGTGATATTTTTTCTCAAAACATCTTTATTTTTTTTTGAAAGCGGGACCTTCAACAAATTGATTAATTCCTTGACCTTACAGAGATGGCAATTTTGAATCTTTTTGTTTGTTTTATTTGCACATCTGCCCAAAATATATTGTCGGAACAAAAAATTTCTATGGGCTAATTTAGAAAGTCAGAACACAGATTGCTGACGGGAGCTTGTTTATCCTATTTAACTCCAAATGAAAGCAAACAATGTTAAAAACATTGCTCCTGGTGGTCGTTTGAATCTCGCTTGTTCATCTTTTGTTTCTTCATTCAGTTTTGTAAAAGTATTATTGTTTGTTCAGTTAACCTCTGATCTTTACTGATCGTTGACCTTTAAGTTGTTAATTTATACACCTGCCAAAAGCGCAACGGCTTTTGGTAGACTCGGAATTGGTCACTATCTTTTATGATACGTAACAAATCAAACCGAAACCAATTCAATCTTTTAAACCTCGATTACCTTAGTTAGCATCACCGTCTTTTATTTAGTCCTAAATAAAAGCCTACAGATTTTAGTAGGAATCTTAATCATCCGCAACCTTAATCTATTCTTAGTTTAAGTACACTCTTATACAACTACGAGTGGTATCCTAATTTTTTAACATGGCGCAGTCTAATGAATCGAATCTACGTGGACTAGAGTTTTTTTGGAACAACTCATCAAACGAAAATCAACATGACTGGGAAAGGTGGGCGGAAAAGTTTCAATTGAAAATTATTGCGAAAGACTCCGTAGACATCGAAGATGTAATTAACCCACCGATAAGAAACGAACTAACTTACCCTACGGCAGAACCACCGGACCCATCCGAGAATCAGGCCCGTCGGGCCGAAAAAGAGGAACATCACAGAGTAGCAGTACAAAATTATAACGAAGAATTAAGAAGGAGAAGGGCGGAAGATAACGCAAAATTTAACGGACTCCAAATCGGAGACATTGACAAGAAGCTAAAATCACAGTTATACCTAGCACTCGGAAAAGAAGGACAGAAATGCTTCTCTCATAAAAATCCTGGCAAAAGAATTCTGGATATCAATTTCGCAGAATTTTGGGAACTATTAAAAACTACTTTCACGATCACTACAAACCTAACATACGAAAGGTTTAAATTTTTTGGCCGAAGACAGGAAGAACATGAGTCCTTAGAAAAATTACATGAAATTCTTTCAGAACTAGCAAAAAATTGTAAACTGGGGGAACTCGAGTCAGAACTAGTAAGAGACATTTTCATCACAAACATGAGAAATGTCGAGATCCAAAAGAAACTATGTATAGAATACTTGACCCCAGAAAACGTACTATCTTACGTATTAGTTCACGAAAAAGGTACTAAAATCCATCAACGGTATCTAAAATTCCCAACTTACAACCCAGGACCAAGACCACAACACGTGAAGAACGAACCAACCCTAAATATCGTCGAAAATAACAATGCCGCAATTGCGGTCAGCAATTCAAAAAACGACACCTATCCACATGCCCGGCTAGAGATAGAAACTGCAATACGTGCGGACGGAAAGGACATTTTGCTAAACACTGTAGGAGTTCAGCAAAAACACAAACTAACAACGTCGATCAGAATCGTGTACCCCAAGAAAACGAAAATATCCGGACCAACCCGCAGGAAAATCCCGAATTTGAGGTTAACTTAGACGACTTCCTAGTTCTAGCCGTTGACACAGATAACCAAATAAATGCCGTAGAAGACAAAATAGAGCGTGGAGTGAGAACAGTATTCAATCTCTAAAAGTATCTCTGGGAAATTTCAACCCTTACTACACCGAGATTCAAATTGACTCTGCAAGTCCAGTTTCCTTCATGAAAAAAGACCTACTACACGAATTGAAGATACGAGATAGATTTTTAAAGCTAAATTCTGTAGACGAAATAACAAAGAAAGCATACCAGGGTTTCGGGAGTACGATCAATATCATTGGAAGAGTTCGAGTGAAAATCCGATCGAAAGGATGGGAGGCTAATGACCAAAAACTTTTTATCACTGAAGGGGCTGAAAGAAATCTACTAGGAAACGACATCTTACCGATTTTGGGTATTGTAGTATTTCAGAAACAACCTCCACCCAACGGGTCAAAGTCATGGGAAGACCAAAAAGTATCACCCATTGGGATAAATGTCAATCAAATCAAATTCGCATCGGACAACCAACAGGATCAAAACCAAGAGACACCATCTCAAAGTGAGTTTAAATTATACATATCAAAGCACTTTTCAGACCTCATAAAAAGAACTGGTAGATCAAAAAACTACGTTGTTAATACTTATTTTAACGAACCGATAAAACCGATACAGGTGAAAGGGAAACGTATCCCGATCATTCTTCTCCCCAAAGTCAAACTATGCATCGACCAATTATTAAGAGACGGACACATCGAAAAACTATCTAGATGCTCTGAAGATTGTTTTATTTCCCCCATCGTGATTACAGCAAAAAGGGACGGATCAATCAAACTAGCATTGAACTCAAAACTACTAAACAAACAGATATTTCGCAATAGACATCAAATGCCGAATCTATTTGAACTAATTGACAACGTAGCAGTTACTATTAGCGGCCACGATCAAATCAGTGTAATTTTAACATTGTGGGGGGAGAAGTAACGGGTTCATACCGTTTTAAAACCGGATTCTACGGACTAGGCGATATGCCTAATGAATTTCAACGCATAATGGACCGTTTGACGGAAAAACTACCAAATACCCATTGTTATCTTGACGACATCCTAATCGCCACCATGGGTAGCGAGGAAGAACATAAAAAGCTAGTCATTAATGTGTTAAAAACGCTAGATGACGAGGGACTAGCCATAAAATGGGGAAAATGCTCATTTTTAACCCACAACATAGAATGGTTGGGATTTAGAATCGACGCAAAAGGGACGACACCATTAATACATAAATCTGACGCAATTAGAAATCTAAAAGAACCAAACTGCATCAAAGATATCAGATCATTAATGGGATCGATTAACCAATTTAATAAGTTTATACCAAACATAGCGTCCCTATCAACACCGTTCAGAGAACTTATGCAAAAAAATAAACCATTTAAGTGGTCCACAGTACATACGGAAGCGTTTGAAAAAATCAAGAACGAAATTTGTAATACGGTGACGAACCACCATTTCGATGTAAAACTGAACACTCGGGTGAAATGCGATGTCTCACATTTAGGATTGGGCGCGTCCATCGAACAAGACCATCGGGGGAATTGGAAGACCGTAGCGTTCGCTAGCAGATTTTTGAATATTGCCGAATTAAAATACAGCACTAATGAACTCGAACTACTGAGATTAGTGTGGGCACTAGATCATTTCAAAAATTATCTACTGGGTAAACAATTCTCAATTTTAACAGACCACAAAGCCCTAATAGGAGCACTGAAAGACGATAAATACACTAAAACGGCCCAATCACGTCTCACCCGTTGGGCGGATAAACTATTACCGTTCGACTTTACTGTAGAACATTTACCCGGTAAAGATATGGGATTTGTTGATTATATATCCCGACACCCATCGGGTGAACCCGTACCAGTTTCTCTGGATGACGAAAAGTTTGTTATCGCTTCAGTAAATCAGATTAGTACGCTCCTAGGCTTTGATCATCTAATGCCAAAAAATTCGTGGTCGCAAAAAGAAATAAATTCTCTCAACATTTCTTAGCACATGACGTCACTTCCTGCAATACGATTGGCCAGTCAACAGATCATATGACCAGTCAAGAAATAGAACGTGAGAAACGAATTGCTAATGCCGCTGAAACTTTCCAAGCGATAGCTAACTATTCCAACATTTCAGTGTGTCAAAGTTCTCACTCGCGAACAGAACAGTGTGACTCATCTTGCAAAATAAACGATTTTTTTACGAATTTTAACATCCTGAAAGAAATGGCAGAACAAATTGAATTTAACCAACAAAAAGAACTTACTACTAAAGAAAACACGGAGGTTTTAACACCAACTACTAGTAACCCGTCGGATAACCCCGAGAAAAGATCACCTAGTAAAAAGAAAATAGTTAACATATTCCCTTTCTCTTGGCCGGAAATATTTGATTCAAAATTTATGTCCCTCTTATCAAAACAAGATCTAGTTCTGAAAAAGATAATCAAAGCAATCGAGGAAGACCGAAAACAGGATATTCTACAACTGGGAAACTACTACAAATCATATTTAAATAATTTACATGTCAGTGGAGGATGTCTTTATCTGGACAACCGATTAGTAATCCCAGCATGCCTAAGATCGACTATGCTCAACAGACTACACGAAGCTCACCCCGGCCAGTTCGCAATGAAAAGTCTGGCAACTCAATACATCTGGTGGCCGAAAATTTACCGTGAAATCCAAGTCCACGGCGAGAACTGTATTGAGTGCGTGAAAGCAGGTAAAAACTTGAAACCTCTTATAAAACACAATACCCTAGGGGAACTCCCAATGGTCGAAGAGCCAAACCAAGAAATGGAATTAGACTTCGCCGGTCCGTTACCTTTAGTATGGGGAACAAAAAAATACATATTGGTGTGTGTTGACAGATTTTCAAAATTCCCATCAGCTCAAATAACATCCAGCACATCGGCTAAATCTATCATAAACTTCCTTAGTAAATACATTGCTTTACACGGGATACCTAGAACCATTAGAACAGATCAAGGATCTGGTTTTATC